TATTGCCACACTCTCCTCTGTGCCTGTGTCATTCAATTATAATATATGGAGTACAGTTACCATACGCAAACCACAATAAGTAAGGTGCCATGGGTGAATATATATCCCACTTAAGGTTTGTTGAAGATTTCACAATAGATTCTGGAATACCTGTTCAAGCATTAGCTCACATCAGCTTACGAGTGGTTTGCATATGCTATATTTAACATATTGCACTTTTATAAAGCGTGCTAAAGTCCAATTACATAAATAGACTTGTAACAGTGAATTATAAAATGTTGGTGCCCCTTGTCACATTTAGCACTTTTGTAAAAACCTCTAAAGATCAATATTACCTTAAAGGAACTTTTAAAACTTAAATGTACCGTACTACATAAGGCATTTTAACTTACATGAAAATGTTGGTAAAAAAAAGCATTTCTTTAATTATTAAATTGTCAGCAGAGTTATGAATCATTGGAACAATGGTTAAACATCAAAAAAGAAATCACCCACCTTCTTTAGTTCTCTGACATAGCATCTGCTTCTCCTTGCTGGTGTAAGACTATGAATGAAAATGTCTAAGAAACTGTTTTTATCCTCACAGCATGGGCATGCAACTGAAGTCTTTGCTGTTATATTCTAATGAATTGGTGCATTTATAAAAATTGCAAGCAGTCAGGCACTTTAAGAAGCATGATTAATGCTGGGAGATTCAGTGATAATGGTGATCAAATAGTAAATAACTCATCAAGGATTGACTAACTCTACGACTACATTTATTTGAAGTAGTAAAACACATTTTAAATGATTAAGCAGACATTGCGGCAAACTGCTGATTATTGTTTGTGCTACTTGCAAACCCCCACAGCAGATGCATTGACAGACAGGCACAACATTGTATATGCATAATACATGGCGACCTTAAAGTTAAACCTCCTTGAAGGCAAAGTACACACATGTAAACACTGCTAAAGATTGGGAAGCTGTTTGGGTTTTATCTTGCTTCACATGATTATTTCATGACACTTACATGTTACAAGTATTACCTACCTTCAGGATTTGGCCAACTTGACCAATGATGCTACCAATGAGATACACTGTGATAAACTTTGAAGACCTGAATACTTTTTCCCTCAGTGCTTGCTCCAAGAGACATTCAAAGTGAAGGAACCTAGATTTTGCACCTAAAGTGCTGGAGGACTATGAGCTTTTGAAGGTATTTTGAGGGATTAGGCATTGCAAGATTTAAATAATGCTATGTATTCCTCCAAATTTTGAGCAAAAATAAATTTATGTTTCCGGCTGACTCAAGGGTCTGGGTGTGTCTGTAGTTGCATTGGTGTTGCAAAAATACACTTAGTGTCACCAGGTTAAAACAAGGGAACTCAAGAGTTGTCTTGGTTTAATCTATTATCTTTTCTTTGAATGTTAATATGCACAATGTACGTAACTGTTGAAATGTAATCATAATACTTTTACTGATTTTCATGCACTGAAACTTTGACATGGTTAGAACACATTTAATCGAATGCTCATTATTGTCAAAATATCTTTTGCAACATCACCATGAAATCAGAAACAATGGGCATAAAATGTTTATGCTATAGTTGATAGAGGAAGCTCAAGATCTGGAGGTGAAACTGTCTAGGCTCATAATGATCTATAATATTAGGTATGGAAGTTACATGATGTATAAATATTTCTGTGGTTCTGGTTTAAGGGGTATATCCTCGTGGGTTTGGTTCATTCTCAATGGCGAAGACTGAGGGAGGACATCAAGAGGCACATAGGAATTATCAGAAACCTGAGATGAGGGATGCTTAGAAAACTTTGGGAAGAATGGAGGGGTCACCTTGGATCTGGACCAGAAACAAGGGGTTAGGGGTGCAAACCATACAATTACAACTTTGGCCCAGGGCAGAAGTCTTGGGAAATTTGTACACCATAAACTACTGCTCCAAAACCATAAAGTACTGTATCTTTGTACTCAAAAGTAAATCACTGTCACCAATACGGGCCCATTTTAAATCATTGGCAATTAAGGTCCAAAGAGGAATATGAGAAATGAAGAGGCTGAGCAGCAGACATCCCCTTTGCTTGGCTTGAAACCATGAGACTTCCAGAAGTCTGAAGTCAATATTGAGGACTCCCAGGATTATACCTAGTTGCAACATGAGGTATTTATGGACGGACAATGGCACTGTCAGATAAAGAAAGAAATTTCCCACTGCTCAGACAAATAAAATACCTTTGTCCAATCACAAAAGATTGCCCTGACTGTACATGACCTTTGTCTATTTTCATTAAAGTAATTCTGTGGTTGCTATAAAGGATGCCAATTCTTGTCAAATTAGCAGTGGCTTTGTATTTTGGTCCATATCCACCAGGAACTAGATTAAGACTACTTACACATCAACAGATTGTGAATATTAATTCTGTTCTACTGTTCATTATCTCCTCAGTTAGGTTGGGAAGATAGGAAGGTGACCTTGTCCTGGATCTTCATAATTGAGTCCAGATCTCATAGAGTCAGAGTCATAAGCACAGAAACAGACCCTTCGGTCCAACTCGTCCATGCCAACCAGATATCCTGAAATAATCTTGTCCCATTTACCAGCATTTGACCTGCGCACTCTAAACCCTCCCTAATCTTGTGCCCATCCAGATGCCTTTTAAATATTGTAATTGTACCAGCCTCCACAGCTTTCTCTGGCAGTTCATTCCATACACACACCACCCTCTGTGTGAAAAAGTTGCCCCTTAGGTCCCTTTTGTATCTTTTCCCTCTCACCTTAAACCCATGACCTCTAGTTTTGGACTCAAGATGGTGTCAGAGTAGGATCCTCCAGCCAGAGCTCCTCTGCGCCGCCCATTCTTTTGCTTTTTCCCTTTTTTGTCTTTTCTGCAGATCTTTTATCAAACGTTTTATTTTTTAAACTCACCCACAGGGGATTGAAGGAGGCAAATCCCAGATTGGAGGCCATCACTGGCGAGTCCTGGAGCCGAGTCCCAGACTAGGCCGCGCAGGGAGGCAAGTCCCAGAGGTGAGTCCCAGACTGGAGGCTGGCACAGGGAGGTGAGTCCCAGACCGGAGGCCAGTGCGGGGGGAGGGGAATCCCAGACCAGAGGCCAGTGCGGCTGGGGGAGAGGAGTCCCAGACTGGAGGGCAGTGCGGGGTGGAAGCAAGTCCCAGACTGGAGGCCAGTGCGTAGGGAGGTGAGTCCCAGACTGGAGGTCAGTGCGTAGGGAGGTGAGTCCCAGACAGGAGGCCAGTGCGGGGAGGGGAGTCCCAGACAGGAGGCCAGTGCACGGGGAGGTGAGTCCCAGACCGGAGGCCAGCGCAGGAGTGTGAGCCCCAGACTGGACGCCAGTGCGCAGGGGGATGAGTCCCACACCGGAGGCCAGTGCGCGGGGAGGTGAGTCCCAGACCAGAGGCCATTGAGCGGGGAGGTGAGTCCCAGGCCAGAGGCCAGTGCGCAGGGAGGTGAGTCCCAGACCGGAGGCCAGTGAGCGGGGAGGTGAGTCCCAGACCGGAGGCCAGTGCACAGGGAGGTGAGTCCCAGACCGGAGGCCAGTGAGCGGTGAGGTTAGTCCCAGACCGGAGGCCAGTGAGCGGGAAGGTGAGTCCCAGACCAAGGCCAGTGCAGGGATGGGAGTGCCAGGCTGGAGGCTGTCACGGGGAGGGGAGTCCCGGACCGGAGGCTGCCGCGGGGAGACGAGGCATCAAGTGTTAAAGCCCAGTGTGACCTGGAAACGTGGCCTGGTGCAGTCTGGAGGCTTGGTACTGGCATGGACTTGGTGAAAAGCACTGTAATTCAAGTACCTTCTAAAAACTTTCTGTTCTTATGGTAGACTTTTATTTATTATTTTTTCAACTCTGTACCAAATACTTAAGTCTCTGTATTTGTGTACCTTGTACGTAAGATGGCGCCATAAGGGCAACATAGCAAACTTTTCACTGCACTCATTTGAGTGCACGTGACAATAAAACTAATTCAATTCCCTACCCTTGGAAAAAGACCTTGCCTATTCACCCTCTCCATGCCCCTCGTGATTTTATAAACCTCTATAACATAGCCCCTCAGCCTCCAATGCTCCAGGGAAAATAGCCCCAACCTACTCAGCCTCTCCCTCTCCTTGAAGGTCAGCCAAAGGTGCCTTATTTTCACTGAGTTATTCCATGGCAAATATCTATGGTATAATACCGGGGCCCAAGACACTCGATAATTCAGATGTCCACATTATTGTGCACTCCCTTCATAACTTACTGGACCAGTTCACCATCTTACAGGTCACAACTGGCTTCATACGTCCTTGTGTCCTTTATGTCAGTGTACCATGCAATTTTGGAATGTCAAAAAAGTGCATATATACATCGTTGTGCAATGACATGCAAATATTACCCGTTCAAAGGGAAGCTAATGGAATTGTGCAGCAGTGCTAACCACTGAGCCACCATGCTGCCCATAAATCATGACCGTGAGGCACTTGAGTTCCTACACGTATATTAGCATAATATTCTGCTATAGTATTCATGGTGATTCAAAGGGGGCACTATTTGAAACCTTAAAGTAAGCATGGGTCACATTTTCCCTCAACCATTACGTAGACTAGAAAAGATGGCAGTAATTTTGTACTTCTTTCCACTTTTACAAATGATTATATTATGTTCTGGTTACAAGTGTGTTGCAGTTAAGAGTAAATGATTTATCACAAAACTCAGGTAAAATTTTCAGCACAAGGGTCATTGTGCATCGGGGCACAGTACACGTGGGCAATCACTGCCCACACATTGCCTCTGCAATCTCTAAACAAAGAACCAACAAAATGGAATCTGGTCATCCATAAAATGAACAGCATATAATTATACAACTAAATTAGAGGCAACCTAACCTTAGGCTTTAAACTACAATTACAAATCATAAAAAGCTTTGCACTTTCAGCATCTCTGAATTTCAAGAGTACATTATTGCCTTGTAACCACATTTAGATATCTGTTATTTTCTGCAACATATTGAAAGTAGAGGCACTTGTTAATAGTTTCAGTACAAAACATAATGTTCCAAACGTTGGCTGTTTATTATGTAAATCAAATATTTAAGACACTTCCAAATAATACATTTGGTTAGTGCGAATATCTCTTGGGATTTCTCAATATTCTCATTGCTTTACTGATATCAAAATGTGAATGATTCCAGATTTTGTCAAACATTCTTGTTCAACTGTTTACATTAGTGCAGATTCTTTTTCACTAAAGTTATTAAAATAATAGCTTGCTTTAAGCTAATTAGCAGTCTTTTAATTGAAACATTCCTTATCAAGTTTGCCTGCTGTCTTTTCTCCACCAATTCTTATTTCATTTCGGTCGCTTCCTGGTCTTGTTCTTGCAGTTCCACTTTCTCTTGCTCTGCCTCTTCTTTGTCTGGCTCCAGCTCTTGTGGTGCATCCTTGCCCTGTTCCTTTGGAAGCCCTGAGTCTTCCTCTAGCTCCTTCCCTTGATCTATCTTCTCCTCTCTCTCTTTGTCAGCCTCCACTTCCCTCTCAGCTTCAGATTTCTCTTCTGTTTGAACAGGAGCTGTTATTTCCACAGGGACCTGGACAGCAGGATTGGGCAGTGGAGCTTCCACAATTAGGATCCCATCAGAAGTCAAGGATGAGGTCACAGACAGGGTGTCCACATCTGAAGGAAGCCTACCATAACATTTTAAAATAGAACAGAAACAAGGATTAGTTTTATTTATGGGAAACCCAACAAATGTGCTATGCAAGCTAAAAACACAGTGTGAATTCTGTAACATGATGCTTCCTCAAGATTGGTGTTTACTCCATATACAACATCTTCCATTTATATTGCAGGATTCTGTTTCTTTCTAATATCTATACTATCTACAGTTGGTATCTGAGATATCCATAATAGGTACATGAGGTACTCAGTCCACTGGTATTACTTCTATCGATGGTACTTCGTATTTTCAATGTGAAGAGCATTAGGCTAACTTTTCAACATTCATGACACACAATGTAACGACAGTGCATTAACCTGTAATTGTGCAATTAACCTGGACATTGGAATTCAACAGAATGTTCACAATGATTCCTACTCTTTTTCTGCTTTGATCATCTCAGTAACAGCATTTTCATTGTATGAATGAAGAGATGAAACACATTGTTTTGAAAAATCAGCATACTGTATTTATCACAATAAAATGGTTACATTTATTTATTGAATTGTCTTTTCATCTTTAAATGCCGCTATAGCACCCAGTTTACATTTGGACTAATTTTTAAACAAAAGTTATAATTCTGAATTTAGATTGCACTGTCCAAGCATATACAATGTCATTAATTTCCCATCTTTACACTGACCCATTTCTCTGCTGCACTCCCCATCCTCCTTCTTTCACCTCCCTTCCTCTCGCCCATGCCTTCCAATTTTTCCTCCTTCCTTCACTTCAATCCCTTCTTTCAAGCCCTCTCCTGCCTATCTCACTTTCCCTGCCTTTATTTTGTAACTATGTTGCCATTCTCTTGACCTGCTTGAATTGAAAAGTGCCCTTAGCCTTCCCCTGTGTGTGACACCACAAAAGAGCAGCCTGTTTTTTTGTTGCAACTTATTCAATGAATCTTGAAATAATTATACACGTACAATTACACACTCACTGACACCTCCTTTCTGTTTCTCTCCCACATATGGTATAGCATGAGTGTTGTTTCAGGAAATGGTTCTGAAACGGTTAATGCATTAACAGAAACTGCATTAAGTTCCACCCAACGTGATGATGTCATAAAAACTTGCAGGAGGCACAAAGGCGGAACAGTTTTGGATCTCAAAGAGGAAGCCCTACTTACCATTTAGATTTCCTCATAGTCTTTGTAAGAATATTTGACTTACTCATGTAACTTGTACGTTATTGCAATAAGCTACATCTTGTTAAAAACAAGAGCCAGTTTCCATTAAGACTCTCTAATGGTTTGCCTCCACCACTGCAAACCAAGTAGCGTTAGACCAAGCCAAGGAAAGCTGTTGATGGCAGCAAAATACCCTGACCACAAGCTGGTAGTGGTTGGCATCACAGCACATACAACAGTTATTACCTGCTTGTTTTCCGGAGAGTTTTGATTTTGTCACTGATAATTTCCATTCTCGGGTCAAGGTAGGGAGTTAATTCCCAAGTCTGCCTCAAACAGAATGGGAAACAAACCTGTATCTTGGGGAGTAAAGGTTTTACTTTACAATTACTGTAATAAAAACTACCAGACTTGCGTATAGGGAGATCTGACATAGTGACATAGCAGATCACATGGAACTGGGATTCAGGTTTGCAGGTCCCAGAGACATTCTCTTGTCACCCCTAGTGTAGAATTACGTTAAATAAAGCCTGTTAATGTTCTCTCACAAAATGCAGACTTATCTTACTATATGCTATTGCTGTTAATCTGAACCACATGTCATTTCATGAACTGAACTAACTGGCTTCCATTCTCACATGTACCTATATCATTTTCTTTTTGTTACCAGATTGTGTGAAATATAAATTGCTACTTTAACAAAAGACTGGCTAAACTCTCTATTGGCAGTCATACTTATCGTTTCTCTTCTCCTATCTGTTTCTATTATATTTGCAAGTACAAATCATCTTATTAAACACAACATTCAAGTCAACTACCAATGTAGCGGCTTGATTAACAAAGGACAATGTACTCACTTGTACTTTCTGGTAAAACTTCTTGAAATAAACCCATGTTGATCTTGTTTTTCCTTGTGATTTCCTGAAAACAAAAGCATTTTCGTCTATCTATTTGTCATAATTTGTAGTCATACTATGAAGGCACGATGTTCAAAGTAATTATGTGACCATAATCAGTCATGTGTATCATCACAATGATCTTATGCACTTTCTTATCTTCCTATATAAGTTCAATGGAATAATATTTATTAATTAGCAATTAAGCTAAATCAGCTTAGAAATATCCTGCTTAAGGAGCTACTTAACAACAACCCTTTGTATACAAAGACAATATAAAAATATACCGCCTGGTGGAAAATGTACATAGGACAAGGATAGAAAAATCCCACCTATTTTGTCACCCAATGTAAAATAACTTGACTGTGCTTAGTGTCTGGGCTATTGCCCACAGTTTAGCTGCTATGGGTGAGGTGAGGTGCTGGAAGGCAGCCAGTATCATGGAGCAGTAATTCAACATCAGTAAATTCCTTCAAAATATCAGGGAAGAAAATTGAAAACGAAACAAAATTGAGATTCTGTAACTTCAAAACATTGTAAAATGGGCATATATGCCCAAGCTTTGTTTTTAATGGGGCAATGCTTACCTTAGCTTTTTAGAACTTATCTGTCTGTCCTTGTCACTTCCCATCCCATTTCCAATCAGATATATTAATGAAATCCTGAATTTTCAGGGTTGATGGCAAAATTGAGCAACATTTTCACACAAAAAAAATCAAAGCAATATGGTTTCAGATGAATCTTCCAGTATTCCAATAATACCATGGCCTGTTGATGGAGAAGCGTACCATTATGTGGAAGTAAAACTTATGACTTCCTTTGCCATTGTTATGGTCTTAACTTTTTCTTTAGACACTCTACAAATTAGCAAATACTCAAATTATTCGATATTGTTCAACTGAAGCTTATGGATGAAGGGCCAAGCCCTACAGAAAGAATGGGAGCAAGGAAACAGTGGCATCTGTCCTGAATTTAAAATGCCTGTATGTTGTATGAAGTTGGGAAGACGAAGAGGTTGATCTATATTGACATGAAGTCCTGGAAAAGAAAGAGCTAAAGGAGGAGAGAGCATGATATGTCTTGATTTTAATCATCTTACATTCCATCAAGCAAGCGAAACATTGAACGGCACAAAATGGTTTCCGTCGTTTTCAGATATTTACATTTTCCCTGACTCTCTCCATCTCCCTTTACTACAGCAGAATACAACATTCAAAATGGGGAAGAGGATGCATAAGAATCTCAGGCTGCCAACACTATGGGCTTGTAACCTTTATTAGGAGGATTAAGATTGACTCAGTGATTCACTCAAAATGCTTGCCTCCCCTTATATAAATAAATTCTTAATTTCAACGCCTTACCTCAAGCCCACATACCCCTCCTATAACAAGACTAAGACTGGAGCATTGCGATATGGGACTTTTATACTACTTGCCCCTCTACATTGGCACATTGAATTCCTTCACAAACCAGTCGTAACTTTGCTTTAGTTTCATTCTCAAAGCAGGTAGCGAGAGTCAGGGAAATTTTGGGGTCAGCTAGCCCGCTTGTCCCACCACACACTTCCCATATCTCATCCCTGCCCCTTCATACCCCTCCAGCCATCTGTCCTTTAGTCCCTCAAGCTGCCCATGCCAGGCTATGCCCTCTACCCACACTGTTCCTTATATTTCCATGCCAAGCTGTGGCACTTTCATTCCTTTTCACCGACTATACACTGTATAAAAGCAATAAATTCTGTAGGTATAATTGGATGTGTAGAAAGAGCGTTGATGAACTAATTTATATTCACTTTCTTTAAAAAAAAATCTCCCTTAAATAATAGTCACCAATAAGAAGTTCAGTCTCAAAGTATCAATACCAGAAATTGGAAGTCCTTAAAATTTTTTAATCTTAAACCCTCCCACTCTGTTATAGCCTCTTCCAATCTCTTCCATTGAGCAGAAGATACAAAAGCTTAAACACATGTACCAACAAATTCAACAACAGCTTCTCCCCCGCTGTAATTAGACGTCTGAATGACCTTCTCAATTTTTAAATTTAATGTTGGTCTCACTCTTTGTGCACCTTCTCTGGAGATGTGACATTGTATTCTTCGCTCTGTTCTATTACCCCAATGCACTGTGTATGGTATGATCTGCCTGTATTGCATGCAAAACAAAACTTTTCATTGTACCTAGGTACATGTGACAATAACGAATCAAATCAATCAATTAGATCACAAGGAGAAACCAAACACACAGAGCATGAATGATTAAGTTTCAACTCATTTCACCAAAAAAATCTGTAAAACAGAGAAGCTCTTCAGACTGATTTTAACTTGCCTAGTTAAAAAAAGTGGGTTAAAGAGGAATTAAAAACTGAGTAGGTCTTAATGAGGAAACATTTTTAAAACTTTCTGAAAAGATGCAAACAGACTGACGAACAGAGTATGGTTCCAGCTCTGCTTGGAAATTTGGTCACAATGTTGTAAAATACCTGCCTCAATGCACCCTGATAAAATGCAGCTGGAAGAAACTCATGTTTGAGATCATGGATGAGGTCAGTTTTACAGGCAGAAATTCATGCAGATGGATAGTTTGATAGACAGACATAAAACATCGAAGAGACTTGCACGGATTGTGATTATGCAAACAACTTACAAAGGCACAGATTTTTAAACTATGTAGTTAGTTTGAGTTCAGATTGCAGGTGCATCTGGATGCAACTGTCGTGCAAATTTCAGAACAGAATGCTAAGAAAGACAAAATATTTGTAGAGTTGTAATAACTGATGGTATGATTAGTGTGATGTTCCTCGGTCCTCTAAAGTAATTGCGAATACTTGCGTTTAAGTGGAACCTATAATGTAGTAAAGCATCCCAAGCTATTTCACAGAAGCGATAAGCAAACAAACCTGCACACTGAAACACATAAGGAAATATTAACTTGCTAATTTTTTTCTGCTAATAATAGCAATTAGCAGAATGCTATATTGACATTGATGTTCATGCACTGTTATTGGCAACAGCCTTTCATTTGATTAAATAATACAAGCAAAACTTTCTATTATCCTGATAATAGCACCATCTAGTGGTCTACAAGTGCAAGTCGCCACCAGATGTTGCAAGTTGCTGAGATTTTTTAGCACTTTCTGCTTGGTCATAATTTTGATTTTTTTTAACAATCCTAGCACAGGCTCAGTTAGTTTCTTCTGCCAGAGAGATGTTCACTTGACCCTGACCAGACAATCTATGTGGAAGGGAAGCTCAGATTAGGTGCAACAGACTCAGGGAGCTGATTACAATGGCCAGTGCCTCTGCACTGATGGAAGAACATCACATTTTTAAAAGTTTTATTTTAAATCTCATTGTCTTTGCAGTTAATCACCCTGAAAGTACAGCCTTTTGTGTTTTACAGCATCACCTACAGCTAAATTACAGGAACACAGAGATTTGTTAACGTGCAGGTGACATAAAATCCATTGTCATAATAAACATCCTTCCATCTGCTTAAGGTGATGGCTTGCAGTGAATTCATTGGCAATGAATTAATTTTATATGATACACGATTGCTGATGACTGAAGAGACCAATCCATGAGACACAATTTCTTTCACAAGTGCTATATGTCAGGAGTTTATTAAGTAATTGGTGTGAGCCGCTGTTTTCAATGTTGGCATCTGTTGCTATGCACACTGACCCATACAAGTAACATTTCTTTCTCCCTCCATTGATTGCTAGCATCTCGCAGCTGCAAAAATCAATGTTTAGGGCCTTTATGTTGTACTTTTAAGCATTCTTAAAGTGGAGTTTTGGACATTCCTCTGATCATCTGACTCCCTGCTCAGACTGATCATCCTTGGAAAGGTGTGTGTATTCCATCCTGCTAATATGACCCTGTCTGTAAAATCATCTCTGCCTCACAAATGCAAACATACCTGGGAGATTTGCCTGAGAAGACGACAGCATTCATGATTTTGTCCCTCAGTGAGACGGCGAGAATATGCCACAGACGTTGAAACAAAGTGCATAGTCGTAAATTTCTTTTGGATTATACCATATGCATAACGTCAGCTCCAGCTAAACATGTCTGAGGAAGGTGAAGGGGGTGACTTCTAGTACAGAACCTTGCATCTTGTTTACCTGAAGACCATGAAGCATGAGCATGGCAATTTTTATTATTCAAAGATTGACTGGTTTAAGGGCAATTTTTATTATTCAAAGATTGACTGGTTTAAGCTGTGTTGCATTTTATACATTTGGTGCGGCAATCATTCTTGTCAATGATAAGGGGACGTATCTTTGTTTTGAGTGCTGTCACCGAATAGATCTTAAATGGCATTTTAAAAATCAAATACATATTTCTAATTCTAGTACACCGAGAGTGTTCTGTCCAACAATCTTTGCCTTTACTTAGGGATAATATGTTACAGGTAATGATAACATGCTATGACATTTGATAAAAGTTTGGTCACATATACAACTACTTTTATGATATTTACAGTGGTGTATTTGCTGCTGTATGCTAGTATGTGGATGTTTAAAATAAATTATTCAGTAATTATTGCCTCAAAAGGGAAAGGTAGGACAACTAAATCCAGTGCTCCCAGAATGAAAAGGAGATTGAAATTAAGTTAAAGAAGAAGAAAAAAAAAGTGGTGTATATATATCAGGTAGAAAATACAATCGAGAACCAAGCTGGATACAGAAGGTTCAGAAATGAGGTGAAAAAGCAGAGACAAGAAGGAAAGAGGGATTACAAAAATAAAATGGGAGCTAATATAAAAGGAAATCCCCAAGTCTACTATAAGGTATCAATCCATCATCTGTCTTCTATCATTAGCAAAAGTGTGGTAAAAGGAGTAGAGTCTATTACAGATCAAAAAGGGAATCTAAACTTAGAAGCAAAAGGAGTAAATGAGGTATGAAATGAATAGTTTTCATCTGTTTTTACCTATGGGCCAGATATTGCCCAGGCAATGGTGACAGAGGAGGAAACTCAGTCACTTGAAGGATTTAAAATTGATAAGGAGGAAGTACTGAAGAAGCTGTCTGTAATTCAAGTTGATCAGACAACAAGGACCAAATGAGACGCCTCCAAAGATATTGAATTCAGTGAGAGTGGAAATTCGGGTGTGGTGCTGGAGGATTGCAACCATTTTGCCCTTGTTCAAAAAATTTCGTAAAAATCAGTTCTTGGCTTATTGTATCTTGTAACGCAGATCAACACAGTGCCAATGAGATAAGTCTCTTGCAATAGGTGAATATAAAGGTATTTTCAAGGGCTACATCTTTTGGGACACACATAATTTAATGTTTTTTCTCCATATGGGATTGGCACATACTGCAATAAGTTTCCAAAGGCAAGTGATAACATTCTAACCCATGTGGACACAATTCAGGAATTGAGACAGTAAGGTGAATGGGTAATATTTAAGCTTGTGGTGCCTGTTTTCAAACTTAAATAATGGCAGCCAGCAATTGAAAATCAGGATGGGTATCTCTTCATGAACACAACACAAGGGTTACACATCCATTTAACAGCTTCATCTAAAAACGGATGGGGATTACTTAAACATGCAAACTGGGTTCCTACTCTGCTGTGGGACTTTGACTGCAATCTTCAGGGAAAAAAATGGATCGAGCATGCACCGTGGGTGATGGGAACTTGTAAAAGTCTTTTGAATTGCAGGGAAGAATTATTCTGAATGTTATGCTAGTAAATCCTACTGTGGACCAAACCTGAAAGCATTTAAATGTTCTTATCCATTTATTTGATTCATTATTGCATGTGACAGTTCCAATTTGTAGCTGAATTGTTTCAATGCACATAGCCCTGTGTCATGAACAGCAAAGGTTCTATGAGATTACAAAAAACACAGTGATGAGGAAAACCATCCTGGTTCATAGATCTAGAATCTCTCTATATTATCATTCAATTCATTCTTATTGATACTTTGATTTTTACTTTTATTGTACTCAGAATTACTTAATTGACTCTAAAATGATTTGGAAAGTCCTGTGGTTGTGAAGAATGCAGTATTAATATGTCTATCCTTTTTGTCTGTTTGAATGTGACCCCGAATCCTATTGTTAATTCAAATGGGGAAAGTGGTGGCCAAGGGGTATTATCACTATTAATCCAGGTAATGTTCTTGGCACGTGCATCCAAATCCTGCCAAGACCGATGGCGAAATTTGAATTCAATGTTTAAAAAGTCTGGAGTTGAATGATGACCATTGTCACTGGTTAGAAAGACCCATTGGGCTCACTGTTGCCTTTTAGGGAAGGAAACTGCCATTTGGGTAATTAGCCAACAATGCCCACATCCCATGAATGCACGTAAACAAAAAAAGAAGTACATAAGAAACAAAGGCAGATGTAGGCCATACAACCCCTCAAAACTGGTCTGCCTTTCGATAAGATCATGACTTATCCTTGACCCAACTCTACTTTCTCACCAGATCGCCTCAAAGAATTTAAAAATTTGTCAAACTTAGGCTTAAAGGTAAATGGCAACCTACCAATATGTTTGATTTCACAATATTAATTTAGTTCTTCAATCATATGAAAACTGAACTCTCAGTTCATATCTCAGCTCATATCTATAGAACACTGATGCCTTTTACAATTTGATATGGATCTCCTAATGATGTTCTAGATTTACCTATTCTGTAACATTTAATATCTTATAAAAAAAAAGAAAGACTTGTATTTATATAATGCTTTTACGAGAGCTGGGTGCCTCAAGGCACATTATGTACTTTTGAAGTGCAGTCATTGTTGTATATGCCTCTATGATTTGTCCTGTAACCCTTTAGTTGCAGTGATCCAAGACTGAATAGCTCAAAGTTTTCCCTCTGAACCCAGCCCTCTTACACCAGCGAACAGAGATTCTGAGCAGTGAAATTCACAGTCAAACCTTTCTGCTCCTCACATGCATCTGGGTACTGTTTTTGTAGCGGTGTTAGGCAAGCACAGCGTTTCTGTGAAAATGGTGCACCAAGGAAAGCAGTGAAAGGAGCTATGTTCACCAAATCTTCACCAAACATAGCTCCCCCACCCCCTGCCCCGCATGGATCCTGGCATAATCCTGCACTGTGCCACTATCTCCCTGGTGTCTCAGTGATGAGCACTCAAACACAATAGTGCAATCTGACCATTTCAGTTCAATACGGAAGCAAAGGAGCATCTGAAATATGATGCTTCATCTGTAAATGAATGCTTATCCGGACGTACATCTGAGACGAATTTGGAGACAGGAATACAACTTAAAAGGATTCTTAATTTTGAAACAGTGAAGGACAGGGAATTTCAACATTTCTATAGTTTCATAATTTGGAGCAATTATCCTTTGTCAACTGATTTTTAATTAAATCTTAATATTTTGGTAATGTTATCGAAATAACGTGGCATTGATATTCTCCAACGTTGGATTAGACGTGTTTAAATCTTAAACACACCACACTTTGTGGACACAAATTAATGTGAGGGTGTGCTGCGATATGAATGGCTTTATACTGAAGGAGCAAGAGTAATTTGGTTCTGCAGTGAATTCCAATGTGGCATATCTTTCACTGGTACAATGCTAATTTCGGGTCACCCTGTCCAGGCCCATCTATGTAAAATGGTCAATTGGATCCTGAGGTAGGCACCAGAAGACCATCACAGGTCAGTGCTTTCAAGAGGCAATGAAAACTAAAGTGGAGAAAATGCGATTATGTTAAATGTTTCAAAATATTCTCAAATAATTGCGGTTACAACAACAACCTGCATTTACATAGTGCTATTAGAGTAAAAAAACTGGTGCATCATCAAACAAAACTTGACACCAAGTTGCAGAAAGACATACGATGTAACTAAATGCTTCATCAAAGAGACCTAAGGATGCTTAGGGAAGGAATTCCAATGTTTAAAGTTTATGTAACTCAAAGCATGGCTATTAAGAGTAGAGTGCTTAAAATGCGAGATGTGAAAGAGGTTGTTGAGTTATTACTGGTCATTGATATATCTAAGGAGGTCTTGTGACTCAGAGCTAGTGACTATATGTATGTTCCAGAAGCTCCAGTTTCAAGTTCCACACCACAACCAGCTGACCGTGGAAGGAACATTCAGGATGCAATTCAACAGCATGAGAATCATTCTACCATTTACCCATTATTCCCCCAAGGTGTGTGCATGAAGGTACTCTTCAAGAAAAGAAGTTTACATACCTGAAATCTCTAAGTAACCCTCCTGGATCTTCACCTGGAGCTCCTCAGGGGTGAAATGCCTCACATCAAGGCTGATTTTCCAGTTTCCCAAGGTCTGCTGGATCAGGGACATTCCCCCAGGCAGCTGCCGCTGCAGGGGTGATGGGCAGTAACTGGGTATTGTGCTGTCAGAAGGGCTCGGGCTGAGCCGATTCTCTACCCATTGCATCCAGTCCTTCAGCGGCTCTTCAGAGAGAGGAGGGAGCCCAAAGTCCTGATCAAATAACCGCCGGGGAGAATAGCAGCTCCGCAAGGCATCCCACCGACTCCGGAAAAAGGGATGGGAGAATGCCATTTCCCAAGGGACGGGAAGAGAAAATGTGCACTTCAAACTGAGGAAATGTGTCCTTCAAAATGAGTGAGCTGAAGGTAAAGCAAGCAGCTTGTACCGGGATGTTCCTGTATCTGACTGTATTTATACAGCCGCCTTGCACCCCATACATAACTTCATCACAAATAAATGTGCCTCTGATCTGGCACAGGGAGCTCAGAACTTTCCAGCAATCAGCTCAATGCGACCACATCAGGAGTTATATATAGAGACTTGACAAATAGACACTAATGATTTTATTTATAGTGTGCATTCCACAGCAAGGATTACAAAGATCTGCCATGTTGATGTTACTCTTTTACTGTGAATAGTTTTTTCTAACCTCAACTGCAACATGCTGTTGCAGGCTCCTCATTTGCTCCAGTTTACTGTTTGCTCGTGACTATCATCGATGTTGTGGGTATGTTTTACATTTTATTTGTTGAGGTGTTTCTGAGAAATTTTCCCCCAAACCCAAATGAAGTTGCGAGCGGCTTTGTTAATGGGGGCTAATGCAGCGAAGCACCTCAGAACTTAATTTCTGATTTATCTTCTACGTGAACATAAAAGCTATGTACAGTTCAGAAACAGGCCATTCAGCTCATCTGGTCTGTGTCAGGGTTTATGCTCTACATAAACCTCCTTCGACATTGCTTAATCAAACACTATCTCCAAATTCTTTCATCCTTTCTCCCAAATGCACTTAACTAATATCCTCTTAACACATTCAACTCAACTATATCTGGCAACAAGGTAGAGTAGAATTTACAAATTCTAAATACTCTCTGGGCAAATGAGACTTCTGAATTTTATTTTGGATTCATTAATGACTATTTTGGACTTATGGCCTGTTCTTTCAGATTCACAAGTTGAAACACCTTTTCAATGGCTGTCCAATCAATATCTTCACACTGTTAAAGAGTTCTATCAGGTCACTGCTCAGCTTTTACTTCTAGGGAAAAAAAATTCCTTCGCCTGTTAAATCTTTCCTGTCAGCTACACTTGGGCTGCAAATGCAAGTCGGATTCTGGGAATTCTGCATTGCATGACTCAACCTCCTCCACTCACCATAGACTTCCCACCATCTGCAAGGCACAAGTCAGGAGTGTGAAGGAATACTGTCCATTTGTCTGAATGTGTGCAGCAGCAACAGCATGCAAAAGGCTTGGTACCATCCATGACAAAGTGGTTTAATTGTCACCTCTTCTTCCACCTTAAACATTCACATTGTTCTTTATAGCTGGGGTGTGTGACACCTACAAGATGCACCTCCACCAAGTGAAAGGGCAAGGACAGCAGAAACATGAGAACAAAATCACCCCCAAGTCCTGCTTTAAGGCACACACCATTCTGAGGCAGAAATATGTCACCATTCCTTCATCATTGCTGTTTCAAAATTTTCGAACTCGGTCCTTAATATTCATCCCTAATTTCCCTGACTGTTATGTTAACACTGGTAACATGAACACTGAAACAGGGAACTTATGGAGACCATGTATCAGGAGATTTATTCATGAAGCAGCTAATTAGAACTTTACCATAGACCTTGGTACTGTCTGAGTTCTACCATTTTTCAGGCTGGTCAACTAATGACTTATTACTGGGTTCTAAAGGTACAGCAGCAGCTATTCAAGGATAGGTCTAGTACCTTTCTGCAAGAATGTTACGTGGCATGTTGTCACACAGGTGCCATCACATGAAATATACATGATTACCTGATCATGCAATAAAACAAAAAATACTTTCAGCATTTGCACATCATTAGTCCAATGGTTCATCATCACGTTCTCATGGGGAGTTGGAGATGGACAATAAATTCTGACCTTGCCAGAGGTGCCTACATTTTGTGAATGAACAAATGAAGAACTTTCAGTACATCAGCTGCAATTTCCCAATATTTTTATGAATGGGCCTTATCTATGTAATGTTGGAGAATTCAATGCAACTCACCATCAAGAGGGTGAGACATACATTGGCTTCTCCCTGGTGCTGAGTTAAAAGTGAATGCTTAAATGGGGGAGGAGAGACATGCCTGAGGGAGCAGGATGGGTGAGTCTTGTGAAGCCAAGAGAAGAATTCATTCTTGCCCTAATCCAATAAAAACCAGTAGGAAAATATCTCGCTGCTGTTTTTGGAACAGCGTCCAGAGGTCCCTGTAAAGATAGGGTGGTCAACATCACTGCTAATGGTCAGGTCCTGTGCAGCACACACTCTACTTATTGGTACCTGGCAATTGTATGAACACCTTACAATGGGCATAGAAGCATTGGATCCAATTTCAGATATCACAATACAACTCCTGTCCCTTTAAAGAACGGATGTTGGCTTTTCAGTTTGAGTCCTGCTTGAAACTCAAGGTGGATACGGGTAGTTTGCAGCTAGTAAGGGAAGATATTCTTGAAACAATATTTGTTTGTGCACTCTTTTTTCAGCCGTCAGATATGGTAGGGTAGAGATAAATTACCCTCGGCATGTCATGCCTCTTTCTCACCTCACCTGGCATCCACACATTTTGAAAATACATTTGCTCTGTGGATCAGGGTACACTTCTAAAGCAGTATTTATTGCCCATCCCAATTGTTCCTTCAGCAATACCAATCAGTCACTTATTGGTGTACTGGAATCACTTATAGACATGATCCATCCCTTCCCCAAAGGATATTTCTGAACTAACTTGGACTTCTCCAACAACCTGGCAGGTTTTATGGCCAATCTTTCCTGGTACCATAAATTACTTAGAGAAAGCCTTGCACTTTTTACTACCTGTCACTAACTCGGGTTATCTGAAAGCAATTTACAGACACAAAATACTTTTGAAATATAGCTACTCTGAAGGAATTATTGCAGCTTGCTGCACTATGAACGTGACCTGATGACCTCTGCATTGCTCATCCTGCATCCCACGACAACTGGGCCACTCAGGAAACCCAGCATGTGTGGCGGAAACGCAGGACTGATATACCTTTTCACTCACGCAGAGACATGAGAATGACTGTAGCATTTTTCTTCCCCTGCACTCATAATCATTTCCACACAGAATGGGGAGATAATGTTGAGACTTCGTGGCTTCACCTATACTGAGGAGTCTCCGTAAAGTGAAATGCTAATGATATCTGGAATAAAGCCTTGTTTCTCACAATTAGGTGAGAGGCAGATTGCCTTAGTTTTTTTTTAATGGCAAATCATAGGGCCAAAACTTACTGTCAATGTGAGTTACCTTCCATGAAAGTGCTGTTGAAGTTGGTTATATTGAACATGAATTGCTGGATGATGTAGAATAATGAATACGAATGTGAGTGCTTGCTGATCTAAACTGATTAACAGCCAACATGAGCTCACTGTGGCTGGAAATAATAATTATGGATGCATGATTAAAGTTAACTTTAGCCTTCCACCATAAGTGAATTAGAGATAATTCTTGCAAAGTCATCTATGTGCAGCAGCTTCCCCAATAAGCCTTCGGTGCTTTTCAGAAAATCAACCTCATCATATGAGTCTTCGGTTGGGTGTTCCTATGGCAACTGTGGTACTGAGGTTAATTATGCGTGTAATTGAAGGAATTTGCCCACTTGCTTGCTATGTCTCGACCTCCAAGGCACAGCATGAGTTGTATCTGGTGTTCCCCAGCTGGGATCATGAGCCATTGGGCCCCCACCTCTTCCTCCGCTACATCGATGACTGTATCGGTGCTGCCTTGTGCTCCCACGAGGAGCTGGAACAGTTCAACTTTACTAACACATTTCACCCCAATCTCAAATTCACCTGGACCATCTCTGATACCTCCCTGTCCTTCCTGGACCTCTCTGTCTCCATTTCTGGTAACTGCCTTGAAAGTGACATCTATTTCAAGCCCACCGACTCCCACAGCTACCTAGACTACACCTCCTCTCACCCACCTTCTTGCAAGAATGCGTCCCCTATTCCCAATTCCTCCACCTCTGTCATGTCTGCTCCTAAGATGGAGCGTTCTACTCCGAAACATCCCAGATATCCTCCTATTTCAAGGACCGTAACCTCCCCTCTCCGGTAATCGAAAATGCCCTCAACCGCATCTCTTGTGTTTCCCGCACCTCTGCCCTCACACCCCCTCCCCCAAACAAAACCAAAGACAGAGTCCCCCTTGTCCTCACGTATCACCCCACTAACTTTCGTATCCAATGTATCATTCTCCGCCACTTCTGCCACCTACAATCCGACCCCACCACCAAAGAGATATTTCCCTCCCCACCCCTACCTGCCTTTCATAGGGACCGCTCTCTCCACGACTCCCTCGCCCGCTCCACACCCCCCACTAGCCCCACCACCCCTGGCACCTTTCCCTGCAAACGCAGGAAGTGCTACAGCTGCCCCTACACCTCCCCCCTCACCTCCATTCAAGGCACCAAACAAACCTTTCACATCAGACAGGGGTTCACCTGCACATCCGTCAACTTGGTCTACTGTATCTGCTGCTCCCAATGTGGCCTCCTCTACATCGGTGAGATCAAGCATAGTCTCAGAGATTGTTTTGTAGAGCATCTGCACTCTGTACGTGACAAACGACAACACCTTCTGATTGCCAACCATTTTAACTCCCCCTCCCACTTCCTAGGTGACATGTCCATCCTGGGCCTCCTCCAGTGTCACAACGACGCCACCTGCAAACTGGAGGAGCAGCACCTCATATTCTGCCTTGGGAGCCTACAGCCCGATGGCCTAAACATGGAATTCACCAACATTAAAATCTACCCATCCCCGGCCTCATCTCAAGTCCAACCCTCCCTCTCATCCCCGCCTCCTTGACCTGACACAACCCGTCCATCTTCTCTCCCAACTATCCGCCTGACCCTTCCCACTGACCAATCCCCACCATTCCCTACCTGCAATCACCTACCACCATCCCACCTACCTTCTCCAAGCCCATCCCTCCTCTCTCTATTTATTTCCCAGCTCCCTTTACCCTCCCCATTTCTGAAGAAGCGTCCCAAACCAAAAAGTCAATTTTCCTGTTCCTGTGATGCTGCCTGGCCTGCTGTGTTCCTCCAGCTCTACACTGTGTTGTCCCAGGATGGGATGTGTCAACTTTTTAAGTTGTACAGAAAAGAAGCTCTTCTGACGGCTTAGAGGGTACATGCATCACATTGGTATGTTCTGCAGGAACCTGAGTAGTCCCAGATATGATCTTTGATTTGACCTAAGTTAGTTAATCAGTTA